AGAGAGAAGCTTCAGCCCAGGGGGAAAGGAAAAACCAGCAGGCTGGTGAGTGATGGTGTCAAGGCCAGGTGGGACTAGCTTATGCTATAAAGTCTGCCATCTTCTTGTAGATCCACTCCCTGTATCGGCGAACAGGTGCCAGCTTTCAAAAGGCCCAGCAAGAATTTGCTGCTGGTGTCTTCTCCAACCCTGCAGTTCGAACTGCTGCTGCCAATGCAGCTGCTGGGGCTGCTGAAAATGCATTCCGGGCCCCATGATCCTTCCTGGGATGCCCTGGCCCTGCCACCCAAGGGAGCTAACAGAGCCCCTATCCCTGAAGTCTCAAGAGTTGGGGGTTTCACTACTTGATGACTTGTGTCTATATAGGGCTCTTAATTCCACAGCCATGACTTTGAACCTGACTTGGAGGTGTGGGAAGCACACTGTGACCCAGTCACTGCTTGTCCTTATCCCCCATCTGGCCACACTGCTTCCACCTTTCACATACCCAAACCCAGCTTCCTTCAGTTGTGCCAAGGATGTGGCTTCGATTATTTAAATAAAAAAAGGAAAAAAGTGGAACTGGAATTCGCCTGTTTCCTGATTTAAAAAACAAATGGAAATTTAGGTCTTTTGAAAGATTGAGGGGAGGGGGGTGCGACCATGACGATTGATGGGACACCACGGATGGACAGGGATGGGACTGGATGACAGACAACCAGAATAAAAAGTACTACATGGGGTCTTAAGGGAAGATCACAGTTGGCCTGAGTAGATTGGAATGGGTCAGATGGTAGAAGGCCCAGGTACCAGGAAGAGAGTCGGAAACGAAGAGATCAGGGAGCCCTGTTTGCTACTCCTCTCCATCAATGATGGAGTAGAGTCTGCCGCCTCTGCTGAGAACCCTGCATCCTGGGAACCTGAGAGACTGAATGGGGGGCAAGTGGACATGGAAAGCATCATAAAACTATTTTGTTAGCTGTGGTCTAGGCGAAGCCAGGGACGGGTGAATGCCTCGCCCTAGCTCCTCCCCTCCCTCAGTAGCATTCTGACTACAGCTCCCGGGATGCACCGCGCCACCACGCCCCTCCTCTACACCAACCCCATCCCCCTGCCTCCAGTGCCCGACCTGCGGCAGCCAGAGCTTGGGGAGCGGCCGGTGGTGGGGAGGGGAGCGAGACAGGCGACCCAGAAGACCGAGGAGCCGCGGCCTCTCCCCACCAGGCCGCCCTGGATCTCACTGGGCACTGAGGGCACACCGAAACGCCTCTTGTCCCTACGCGCCGACCTCTCCCCTCTTCTGTAGACTTTGCATCGATCTCGCTTTGCTCTCCCCACCCTTCCCTGGGCTCCCGACTGCTGCCCTTTCTTCAGTCTGGGATCGGCCCTTCTCGACGCCCCGCTTTCCTAGGGAGATGCGATGAGCCAGTGCCCTCCCGTCCTCATCACCGCCCCGGGCACGGTACCCGACCGGTGCCCATGGTGGGGAAGAAGCACCTCGCAGCCCCTTCGTGACGCCCCTCCTTTGGGCCTTCCTCCAGCTGGCGTCCCTGGGCGATGTCCCAGAGGACCTAGCCAGGAGGTGGGCTCTGCAGCGAAGGGGCTGGAGAGGATAAAGGACCGGGCCTTGGGCGCCTCTGAGATGCTCCCAAGCGCCAAAGGGGGCCGAGCGAGGCATAGGCAACCCGGAGGTAGGCATGATGCCCTCGCCTAGTGACTCCAGCCGCTCGCTGACCAGCCGGCCCAGCACCCGGGGCCTTACCCACCTCCGCCTCCACCGACCCTGGCTGCAGGCCCTGCTCACGTTGGGGCTCGCCCAGGTACTCCTAGGTATCCTGGTGGTAACCTTCAGCATGGTGGCTTCCTCTGTCACCACCACCGAGAGCATCAAGAGGTCCTGCCCATCTTGGGCTGGGTTCTCGGTGAGTTGGGTACAAAGAGTGCACAGTAGTGGGGTGGGAAGAAGCTTCTTGGGTCCCACCTCTCCTCACCTGCTGCAAGCCCACATCCTTGCCTTTCCTTCCTCTCCTGCTCCTCTCCTCCTTGCAGGGCTGGGTGCATCCTGTGGTAAGGGGCTCACCCAGGTGTTTCCCCTGCCAGGCTGAGCCTGTGCCCACTCTGTCCCCAGCTGGCGTTCTCCGGGGTGGTTGGCATTGTGTCCTGGAAGCGGCCATTCACTCTAGTGGTAGGTGCCAAGGCCCAGTACCCACTGGGAGTTAGGGACCCAGTACCACAGGGGAATACCCCTTTGTGCCCTCAGGAAGGGTGCTGGCACAAAGTGTCTGTTAAGAGAGAAGGGTGGCTCATTTTGTGTAAGAATTCCATGAAGGTCCCAGCCCTGAGTTGGCACCCTCCTTCCCCCAGATCTCTTTCTTCTCCTTGCTTTCGGTGCTCTGTGTCATGCTCAGCATGGCTGGCTCTGTTCTCTCCTGTAAGAATGCTCAGCTGGCTCGGGACTTTCGAGAGTGCTCCATGGTGAGATTTATGGTGGGAAAACTGGAGAGAATTAGTTGGGGGAGGTGTACAGGGCCCCTGAATTGGTCCTGACCCAGGCTGCCTTGCTCATCCCACTCCCACTCAGGAAGGGAAGGTCTGTGTGTGCTGCCCCCCTGCCCCCCTACACCGACCCTGTCCAGAATGGGGCCAGGAACTGAAAGTTGCCCTTAACTCCACCTGTGACGAAGCCCGAGGAGCCCTTAAGGTGAGCATATAGTACCCCATCCCTTCCTCCACCACAATCATTCTGGTTCTTCTCTTTACCTCTCCTCCTGGGGTTCTCAAAGGCCCAGAATATTTGGGTTTACCCCTCCCAGGCCTCTCACTCCTCTCCTCCATTCTCTTCCCTTTCCCAGAACCTGCTCTTCAGTGTCTGTGGACTCACCATTTTCGCAGCGATAATCTGTACCCTCTCTGCTATTATCTGCTGTGTTCAGATCTTCTCCCTGGATCTGGTGCATACGGTGAGAGGGAAAGCCAGGCCCAAGCAGATAAGTGTGGTGGGAGCTAGGGGTGTGTCTGCTGGGATTGGGCATGCAGAGTCAATAGCTACCGGTCTGGATTACAAGCATGGGACAGACTCTGGGTCACCTGTGATTGCCTACTGTAGGAATGTTTAGGATGCCAAAGGGAAGGGGGGAAGACTGGATGGGGCAGAATCAGGAAAATCCTAGATGGAGGTAGGGATAAAGTCTTGTGGTGACAGGGAACAGGTAATAATTATGGATGAAAGTACAACTGTAAAAAGGAGGGATTTATGGATGGGCAGTGCCAGAGCTGGATGGGCAGTGCCAGAGCTGGATGCTCAGAGTAGGGACAGGTTTAAGGAGCTAAGTATGGTCAAAGAAGGGCTGGAACTGAATCTTCTTGAAGGAGGTGGGAACATAAAAATAGCAGAAAGGAGCCGGGGTGGTGGTGCACGCCTTTAATCCCAGCACTTGGGAGGCAGAGGCAGGCAGATCTTTGTGAGTTTGAGGCCATCCTGGTCTACATAGTGAGTTCCAGGACAGCTGGAGCTACAGGGAGACCCTGTCTCAAAAAGTCAAAAAAAAAAATAGCAGAAAAGAAAAGATTTTGAAACCAGGCTTGCTGACCTGCTTACTCCCCAGCAGCTGGCCCCAGAACACTCAGTCTCAGGCCCCCTGGGGCCTCTGGCCTGTACATCCTCACCTCCACCTCCTCTCTTACACACCATGCTGGACTTGGAGGAATTTGTGCCACCTGTGCCCCCACCGCCCTACTATCCCCCAGAGTATACCTGCAGTTCAGAAACAGATGCACAGAGGTAAGATTGGGTGGGGTTCTGCTAGAGGACCTGAGGAAGAGGGCTGGGGCTGGGCCTGGATTGTGGGAGGGATAGCTGTGGAGTAGGAGTTATTTTCTAGGCCCTGATCCTCTCCCTCATCCTGCCAGCATCACATACAATGGCTCTATGGATAGCCCGGTGCCCCTGTACCCTACTGATTGCCCCCCTTCTTACGAGGCCGTCATGGGGCTACGAGGAGACAGCCAGGTGAGAGGACTTGGTGTGGCTGGGAGCAGGGGATAGCCTGAAAAGCTGCTTGATGAGGATACCAATAATTCTCATGATCTCATCATCTAGATCCTGCTGAGGTGGGTGGCAGAACAACTAGTATTTCTGTATTAAAGATGTGGAGCCAGAAAACCCAGCACTCGGGAGGCAGAAGCAGAGTAGTGTGTTCCAGGCCAACTAGGGCTTCGGTGACCCTGTCTCAAAAAATAAAGATGTGGAAACTGATGTCCTCATAAATGACTTCTACAAAGCCAGTGTACTGGCACAGGCCTGTAATCCCAGTACTGGGGAAACAGAGGAAGAAGGATTAGAAATTCAAAAACTAGCCTAGGTTACATGAACCCTGTCTTTAAAACAAAACAATCAAAAAACAAGTAACTCAGAGAGTGACAAAGCTGGTGTGGAATCTCAGTCCCTGGTCTCCAGAGGTCTGTTGAGTACATGGGAATGGCCATGCTAATGTGAAGGACTGGACCTTTGATCCTGTGTCTCCTGCAGGCCACTTTGTTTGATCCTCAGCTTCATGATGGCTCCTGTCCCTGTGAGCGAGTGGCATCCATTGTAGATGGTGAGCAGAATGGGGAGGAGTGGCCAAGGACTCGGTGGGGGACAGCAGGGGTAGGGTGGGGCCGTAAGGAAGGGAAGACAAGGCTGAGCTAGGCTATGGTTTAGGGATGAGGACTATGGCTTCTTGGAAACTTGGGCCTGTCTCCTTGGAGATAAAGCAGGACAGGCCGAGAGGCTGGGCCCTGAAAGGGGAATTGCCTGGTCAGGCCCTCCTACGATGCTACCTAGCGCCCCCTGCCGCCCACAGTGTCCATGGACAGCGGGTCACTGGTGTTGTCCGCCATTGGCGACCTCCCGGGGGGCTCTAGCCCGTCCGAGGACTCATGCCTGCTGGAGCTCCAGGGCTCTGTGCGCTCGGTCGATTACGTGCTTTTCCGCTCCATCCAGCGAAGCCGCGCCGGCTACTGCCTTAGCCTGGACTGCGGCCTGCGGGGCCCCTTTGAGGACAGCCCCTTGCCACGGCGACCCCCACGATCTGCCCGCTCCTATTCCTGCTCCGCCCCTGAAGCCCCACCCCCACTGGGTGCCCCCACGGCAGCTCGCAGTTGCCACCGGTTGGAGGGCTGGCCGCCCTGGGTGGGACCCTGCTTCCCGGAGCTGAGGCGGAGGGTCCCCCGGGGAGGCAGCCGTCCAGCTGCTCCCCCTCCCGCTAGAGCCCCAACTCGACGTTTCAGCGATAGCTCAGGTTCCCTCACCCCACCGGGGCACCGGCCTCCTCACCGGACTCCCCCACCACCACTGCTGCTGCCACGGTCTCACAGCGACCCAGGCATCACCACCTCCAGTGACACTGGTGAGCCACTCCTCACCTGGTTCCGGGAAGGGTAGGCACCGGGAGCCACAAAATGGGCGATGCCCACCCAGACTGGGACCCTGTGAAGTTCCTAAAGAGGAGGAAAGTGAATTCATTCCTGCAGTACCATCCTTGAGTGTTCATCTCCTAGAACAGAGCTTTCATAGCTTCATAGCCAAAGACAGGACTTGGTTGAAACCAGTTCCACAGCTCCTAAGCTTAAACTACTTATCCACCCTGTGCAAGCCTCAGCTTCTCAGCTTGTAGAAGACAAGTGTACTAGTAAGAGGTCAACCAGAAGTACTGTAGAGTTGCTGAGAAAGCAGATGAAGCAAAATAGCTTACAGCCACCCTGGGGGGTGCCTGGACTGTCCTCTGGGAACGCTAAGCAGAGCCGGTCTGCTCAGTACTCAGGAGTGAATCCTAGCATCCGCACAGAAAAGGCTCTGTGATCTGAGGAGGATAGGGCTGTAGACCCCATCTTCCTGCATTATACTACCTAGTTGCTGGCACATGTGGTCAGAGATGATGGCCCCTTGAATGGGAATGGACTATAGTAACCAGAACAATCCCACAGCGCCTGAGTTCTCACAGAGGGGTGGGCAGTGGAAGGGCAGGTGTGTCAGTAGGTGTGTCACAGTCCCTTTCTCTCCCCAGCTGACTTCAGGGACCTTTACACCAAAGTGCTTGAGGAAGAAGCTGCCTCGGTTTCCTCTGCAGATACAGGTCAGGCTTGTGACGAGCAGCTGGAAGGTGAGGGGGTTACTGCTTGGCCCACCCTGTACCCCCCACATACCTCTTTCTCTGCAGGGCTCTGTTCTGAAGCCTGCCTCTTCCGCCTAGCCCGCTGCCCTTCCCCCAAGTTGTTACGTGCTCGCTCAGCTGAGAAACGCCGCCCTGTGCCCACTTTCCGGAAGGTTCCCCTGCCTTCAGGTCCTGCACCTGCCCACTCTCTGGGGGACCTGAAAGCAAGCTGGCCGGGCCGGGGGCTGGTCACTCGTTTCCTCCAGATGTCCAGGAAATCCCCAGACCCCGTTGGGACTGGAGCCCATGGACATAAGCAGGTAAGTGGTAGGAACCCAGGGATGATCCTTGGGAAAGACTGGAAGTTGGGCCATACCAAAGCCCTCCCTTGTGCCCCCTTCCAGATACGCAGGAGCCCATGGGGCCGACCTGGCCGGGAGAGCCTCCACCTTCGCAGCTGTGGTGATTTGAGCTCTGGCTCCTCCTTGCGCAGACTCCTGTCTGGCCGCCGGCTAGAGCATGGAGGCCGGCCCCACAGCCTCAGCCTCAATGGAGGCAGCCAGGAAACTGGGCTCTGACCGAGCTTCTTGTCACACTGAACAGATGCAGATGAATGCTGGAGCCATGTGTACCAACTGGTTCCAACCAGCATCCCCCAGCATCCCTGTACACTGACTGGCACAAATAGAAACCCGCTGTATGCCCTCCCAAGGCGTTCTTTCCCGCCTGCCTTTGGGGGCTCCTGCTGCTTGCCCCTGTCCTTCTGGACTTGGGACCTTCTATCCTGTGCTGCATGGGTGTTCAAGCTGTGGGAGGAGAATTGGAGGAGGAAATGAGTAAACTCCCTTCAGTATAAGAATGCCTTTCTGATCTTCAGGAAGCACTGTGTTCAGGGCAAAGGCCTATCCTGAGTGTTTAAGAACATGGTGGTTTGTGCCTGTGCCAGATGGTGAGGCAGTCTTGAAGAGACAGAAATCTAGGTGGCTTTTCTGCTCTGCCACCTCTAGCTGCATGACCTTGGGCAAGTTATTTAACCTCAATTGCCTGATCTGTAAAACATTGTGAACAGGAATGTTTGTAAAGCTCTTAACACTCTGAGTAAGCCTTCAATAAATTTCAATTTCCTCCTTCTCAATTAGAGTGGTTCTTTTTTTTTTTTTAAAAAAAAAAAAAGCAGTTTAAAGACAGCTCTTAAGCACAGAGGGTAATACAGAGATATGCTCAAGGAAATAAGACATACCTATGTGAGGTATGGGCTTCTCAAAAGAGTTGCTCTTGGACTATTCTTTTTTTTATCTTGTTTTATGTGTGTTTTGTTTGCATGTTTGTAAGTGCACCACGTGTGCAGTGTTTTCGGAGATCAGAAGAGGTCGTCAGATCCCTGAGGAACTGGAAAGACTGTCATGTGGGTGCTGGGAACCGAATCCAAGCCCTTTGTAAGAGCCACCAGTGCTGTTAACCACTCAGCTATCTTCTCCAGGCCCTGGACTCTTTTTTATTTTTATTTATTTATTTTTATCTTTTTTGTCTTTCTGAGACAGGGTCTCTTGTAGCCCAGGCCAAACTCACTGTGTAGCTAAAGATGACTTTGAACTTTTCTTTTTTTTTAAATTTTTAATTTTTTTTATTTTTACAAAAACGAGAATTTCATACGTGTATATAAGGTGTTTTGATCAAACCCATGCCCACTCCCTCCCCTCCAACATTCCTCCCCTCTGAAGAGGTAACCCTAAAATCTTTTAAGGATTAGATACAAGCTCCCAAATATTTTTGACATTTTTGGTCTTTGGAACAGAGTATGTTGCTAACAGGCCCAAGGACATTTTGACTTTTAGCCAAGAAACTGGCTAAATTTCTTTGGGGTCTTTTTGCCCTAACTGCCTAGCCAATTCCTACCTCCTTTTCTTATCACAGCATCCTCTGAAGGGGTTACCCGACCTTGAACTTTTCTTGTAAATGTTATTGCGTGTGTGTGTGTGTGTGTTTGTGTGTGTGTGTGTAATATGTGTTTGTGGGAGTGTGGGAGTGCATGTACACAGCACATGTGTGGTGGTCAGAGGACAACTCTGAGTGCTGGTCCTCACCTTCTACCTTGTTTGAGACTGGGTCTCTCTGCAGTTTTCCCACAGTGTATGCCAGGCTAGCTGGTCCTCCAGCTTCCAAGGATTCTCCTCTTTCCATTCCTATTTTCCCATTTCACTATAGGAGCACCTGGGATTAAAGCATTTGGCTTTATGTGGTAGGTTCTAGCAATCTGAACTCAAGTCCTCATGCTGCATGGCAAACACCTTCCTAGCCTCAGCCTTGAACTCTTTATCCCTTACCATCACTTCCCAAGTGCTAGGATTACAGACCAGCATTACCATGTCAGCTTGACAAAGTTTTTATTCACCTCTGTATCTCACTTGATCTCTAACCATCAATTAATCAAGATACATAATCAGCATTTTTCTAGTTTTCTCCTTTGTCTTTAAAGACATTACAGTTTCCTGATTCTCCTCTTACTTTACCCTCTGGGTACCTTTAAAAGCTTTTGCTTCAAATGTTCCATGCTTTTATTATTCTACTTTTTTATTTTTATATTATGTATATGAGTGTTTTGCATGCATGTAGTGTGCCACGTACATACAGTGCCTGTGGAGGACAGAAGAGGGTGTCAGATCCCTTGGACTTGGAGTTTCAGACAATTGTTAACTGCCATGTTGGTGCCGGGAACCAAACCTGGGTCCTCTGAAAGAGCCATAAGTGCTCTTAACCAGAGCCATGTGTCCAGTACCACAATGGAATTCTGGGATTTGGGGTTTTTTTGGTCTTTTTGAGACAGGGTCTCCCTGTAGTCCCAGCTGGCCTGGTACTCACAGAGATCCACCTGCCTCTGCCTCCCGAGTGGCCCACAATGGAATTCCTGATTCCTGCCCCCATACTGTTCTCTCAATAAACAGCACTGCAAATACCCATTTGCACATTCCAAAAGCTTAAGAATGTTATTGGTTTCCCTCATCAAATACGCCAAATCTATGACTAATTCATCTGTCTCACCATCTATCAGCTACCTACTACAAGCCACCACCCTCTCCATAACACCTCTGAATTTCTTTCCATTCTTTCTAACAATCCATTTTTCATATAGCAACATGGAGCAAAGCTCTGCCTAAAGGGAAGCACTTTGGCTCATGCCTATAATCCCAGCAGCCATGAGGTAAATGCAGGAAAACTGCTGTGAGTTCAAGGCCAGCCTGAGCTCTAGTGTGAGATGATGTCTTAAAAGACAGCTCTGGTCTGCCTGTTGATTGACTGGCTTTCTACTGTATTTAAGGAGCTGCCATGTATCTCTGTTAACTTTTTCTTTCTTTCTTTTCTTCCTTTTTTTTTTTTCTTTCTTTCCAATAGAGCGTTCTTGATTTTCTTTTAATGTATGCTAGGCTGGAACTTGCTATGTAGATCAGGCTGACCTGGAAATCACAGACACCTATCTGCTTCTACGCCTGAGTGCTAGGATAAAATGTGACTTCTCCTTTTCCTTCTTTCGGATACTAAAAGCCTAGTATGCTTCCCAGACACTTTGGGCTTTCTCACTCTCTCTGAAGTTCTGAAGCTTCTCTTAGGCTTTCCCCTTGCCAGGATGCAGCTGTTTGTCAGCCATGTGACTGCTTGCTGAACCTCCATGGCTGAACATGCTGGCCTAACTAAAAAAGCATGGCTTTCTCTCTTCCTCTTCTCCAGCTCCCCTCCCTTGTCAGCTGCTAAGATTTATATCTTACCTGCCCTACTGTGTTTCTTTCAAATTCTCATAAAAATTTCCAACAAGAGTAATGGCACATACCTGTAATCCCAGCACTCAGGAGGCTGATGAAGGAAGATTCAAAGTTAGAGGTCAGGTTAGACTGCATAGTGAGATACAGGCCTAGCCCAGACTACACAGCAAGACAGGGTCTACCTGTAGTTCCATCTGGCCTGGAACTAGCTATATATAGACTAGGCTGGCCTTGAACTCCCAGAGATCCACTACCTTCTGAGTGCTGGGACTAAAGGCATGTGCCACCACGCCCAGCTACCTGCTCTTTCTTGATCAGTAACTATTCTGCTCCTGCGGCTGAAACTGTCACTACATTCTAGTCTTAATCTTACTCTCCCCTCTAAGGAAAGTTTTCTTTTTCTTCCTTCTGCTCTTGAGCATCCATTCCCTTCTCACTTGGTCCCATCAGGTTCCTTCCTCTTCCTTTTCCTAGCCACTACTCTCCATATAGTTTTCAGTCAACATTTCTCTGCCTCCATCTGAATCTCCAAGTTTGATCCAAGGAACAAATAATTCAGATAACATGGTTTTTGTTTGTTTTATTAGTTAATTGTGTGTATGTGTGTAAGTGTCACATTACACATACAGAGGTCAGAGGACAACTTTTGTTTTTTTGTTGTTTTGTTTTTCTGAGACAGGGTCTCCCTGTAGCCCCAGCTGGTCTGGAACTCACTATGTAGACCAAGCTGGACTGAATCTCACAGTGATCCACCTGCCTCTGCCTGCCAAGTGCTGAGACTAAAGACATGCACAACTGGGTTGGGCAGGACAACTTTTGGGAGTCAGTTTTCTACTTCTACAGTGTGGGTCTGGAGATTGAATTCAGGCCATCAGGCTGGGCAGTTGGTACATTATTCACTTAGCAACCTCACCAGCCCTTCCGTGGCGCACACCTTTAATCCCAGCACTCCAGGCCAGCTGGGGCTACAGGGAGACCCTGTCTCAAAAAGGCCAAAAACAAAGCAAAGCAATCTCACCAGCCCACAGCATGTTTTATTTTTATTTCTTATTAGTGTGTGTGTGATGTTTGAGTACAAGCCCTCATGTTGTTTTGCAGTTCTGGGGATTTAACCCAGGGCCTCAGGCATGAAAAGTAAGTTTCTACCACTGAACCAGCCCTGCCATATTGTTTTGTGCACTTCTCACTACCTAAAATTATCTCATAGGAACACTTATTGTATATTACAGTTTCTATTGTATCTTATAGTTTCTATCATATCTATAGTTTCTGCTAGTTTCTAGGACTGAAAATAAAGCCAAGGAAAGGTGAGATGGCTCAGCAGGTAAAGCACTTGCTACTCAGGCCTCCAATTTCATTTCAGTCCCTGGAATCCACCATGAAAAAGTGGAAAGAGAGAACTGACCCCATAAGGTTGTCTTTTGGCATGTGCTTCTGCTGGGGATGTAGTTCAGTGGTGGAATGCTTGCTCATAGCATAGCATGAAAGACCCTGGTAGTGTACACACACATACACACACACAAATGAATAAACGTGGGAAAATGTGGGGGCTTTATTTTTTTTTTGAAGCATGCAACTCTGATTGGAACTCACAGATTCACCTGCTTCTGTCATCCTTGTGCTTGGATTAAAGGCATGTACATCACACCTGACAAAATCAAGGGGTTTGCTTTGTTTTTTTAAGAAAATAAAGCCAATTCCTATGTTCAAAAATAAGTCCAGTATACTGGCTTATGCCAATGAACCCAGCACAGCAGTTGGGCTACATAAGTTTCAAAAACCAGAGGTACCAGCATGGTACCTTTAATCCCAGCACTTTCAACATAGAGACAATCAGATCTTGGATCTCTGTGAGCTAGAGGCCGGCTGGGACTACATAATTGAGACCCTGTCTCAAAAACATTTAAAGAAAAAAGCTGCCAGGCGTGGTGGTGCATGCCTTCAATCCCAGCACTCCAGAGGCAGAGGCAGGCCAGCCTGGTCTACATCGTAAGTTCCAGGCCAGCTGGGGCTACAGGGAGACCTTGTCTCAAAAAGACCAAAAAAAAAGAAAAGAAAAGAAAAGAAAAAAAGCTGCAGGTGTAGCTCAGTGGTGGAGTGCTTGCCTAGCATAACAGGTCCTGGGTTCAATCACTTTTTTGTTTTTATTTTATTTATTATTATTATTATTGTTGTTGTTGTTGTTGTTATTTATTTTTTTGGTCTTTTTTGAGACAGGGTCTCCTTGTAGCCCCAGCTGTCCTGGAACTCACTATGGAGACCAGGCTGGCCTTGAACTCACAGAGATCCACCTGCCTCTGCCTCCCAAGTGCTGGGATTAAAGGCATGCGCCACCACGCCCGGCCCACTTTTTTATTTTGAGTATATGCAGTATCATCTC